TCATGCATTGCAGTTCCTTTCTGTCAGTTCTTTCTCTGCTTCCACAAGACTATCCAGTTGTTATAGTTTTGGAAGGACTATAAACCCTCCCACATTGGGGCTCAAGCCATCTTCTAGGAGGAGACTTCTAAAGGAAGCATGTTATCCCACAGTGGGGCTGCAGGGTTCTTGCACCTTCCTCTGAAGCATCTGGTGCTGGCCACTATCTGAGACCGGATACTGGACTAGATGGATCTTGGGTCTGATTCAGCCTGACAATTCCTATGTCCCTTTGCTGCTGCAGCCCAACTTCCTGCCTGTGGCTGCTTGAATTTAATCAGTCACTGGACCCATCTTCTCTTGGTGCGGGGGACACATGTTGGTTGCTCTGTTGCTCTGATCTCTGTCCTGTGCTGGCTAAAATGTCATCCCCATGTTGGTTTGCACACTGAGTACACTGGTGGCTGGAGGGGAAGGTGATTCCTAAGTTCAGACCCGTTGAGCATATTCTGCTGCTTTAATTATTTTCCAGGCCAATGAAATGTTCCCACTTTCTTTTCCTCAGGAGGATTTGCCAGCAGGTCAAGAGTGGGAGGGGGCAAGGCAACATCTGGAGTCCAGCCTGCAGCTCTGTGCTCTCCTTGGGACCAGGCTGCTGCCTCCTTTCTGCTCCCCAGTTGATCCAGTCCAGCCTGGCTGTTGCTGTAGGTGCTCATGCTATTGGAGGGTGGGCATGGCATTTTATGTGCATCCTTCCCTGCTTTATCTTGCAGCCACTTCCGTTACGGAGCCCCTCCTGTTATTAACCCACTGGGCACTCGGTTTCCCTCAAATGCAACTGTCCGCCCATCCTACAACCTAACCATGACTCTGAGCAGCACTCTGCAGAACAGTATCTTTGTGAACATCACCACCCCAGCTGCCGGAGACTGGTTCATCGCTGCACACCTGCCTCAGGCTGCAGGCAAGATCGAAGTGAAGGTAAGGGCTACAGGGGACATGAGTCCAGAATCCTTTCACCAGTCCAAGGCTCCCAGCAAGGGAAGCCCTTGCCCGTAGTGAGGAATGGCGGTAACTGTTCACCATGGCCTGTGCAGTTGGGCATGGAATGGCATTCCAGCCACTGGAGAGTCACTCTGCCAACCCCGCGTTCCCAGTTTGCAGCTGAGATGTGGGAGAGGGGCTGCATGGGGGTGGAACTCTCTGAGCTGTCCATGCACGCTTGGACCATGTCTATGTTCCCGTGGTAAGTGGGAGCCCAGTTGGCATCCAGGCAGGCTGTGAGATGGTTCCCCCTCCGCTGGGACACCAGGCCATACAGCGAAAGGCTGTGTGGGAGCTACACCCCTCTGCTTCTGGGGGGAAGTGATTTTCTAGAAGATCTGCTCTAGGAATTATTGTAGCGTAGTTTTCTGGCCTGTGTTCTACAGGAAGTCAGACTAGTCAGCGGTTCTCAAACTGTGGGTCGTGACCCTGTTTTAATGGGTTTGCCATTAAAACCCCCTACCTGGGGCTGAAGCCCTTGGGTTCAGCTTTGGCCCCCCTCTGCCCGGGGTGTTGGGGCTCAGGCTTTGCCCCCCCCCCCCCCCCCCCCCACCTAGGGCGGCAGGGCTTGGGCAGGCTCAGGCTTCAGGTCCCCCTTCCTGGGGTCGTGTAATAATTTTTATTGTGAGAAGTGGGAGAACCCCTGGACTAGATGATCACAGTGGTCCCTTCTGTCCTTGATATCTGACTTCCCCAGGAGGGATAGACAGTCTTTGCTGGAGCCAGACTGGCTGCAGATGCCAAGGGGACATTCGTTGGGGAGGGGCTTGAAAAATGTAGCCAATGCCACACAATTAGGCTTATTGTCCAGAGACTGACTTGAGAAATTCCACCATTCTCCTGGCTCTACCCTGAGACAGCCGGGTCCAGAGACACTGCCCTAGGGAGGCATCTGGGTAGAGCCTTCCACCAAGGAGAGGTACCCTGAGGGGCTGGGGACAGGTGGCATCAGGGCTGCTCTGTGTAACGGTAGGAGAGGCCAGGGTATCTGCAGGCCCAGGTTGGCTGGTTCTGGTTCTGAGCTGTTTTGGGGGTTCTCATGGCATGTGCTAGGTGCAGAGGTTCCATTAGTACAGACTGGCTGCTGGAGGAATCCAGATTCCACTCTGCTCTGGCATGTCTGCTGGGAGCGCACTCTGCCTCCTCCCGTAGGCTCCCCTTAGGGCAGGGGTCTCAAACATGCGGCCCGCAGAGCTCTTCCCTGCAGCCTGCCAAGCTCCCCCCAGTTACTTCCTGTCGCCGCTCCCCTCCCCCGCGCCCTCCCCCGCCCCGAGTTATTTTATGTGGCAGCTAAGCTCCCTGCGCGCTGCTCCCTAATGTTTGGGGCCGGGTCTCTTCCCCGGCCCCGCCTGCTGCCCCCACGCACCTCCCCCGAGTGTCCCCCGGCCTCACTTGCTGCCCCCTCACCTCCCAGGAGCCTGCAGCTCATGCTGACTCTGCTCTGCTGGCTTCCGGCATAACCTGCTGCTGCAGGGTCCTAGTGCCCCCCTCCACTAGGGCCAGGGCAGGCTGCCCTTCCCCTGCCCTTCTGCCCTAGTCCTGAGCCTCTCCAATGTCCCAAGCCTCTCCAATGCTCCAAACCCCTCATCCCCAGCCCCACAGCCCTCACCCCTGCACCCCCTCCTATCCCCAAACTCCATCCCAGAGCCTGCACCCAGCACCCAAACTCCCTCCCAGAGTCTGCACCCCAGACCCCCTCCCCCATCCAAACTCCCTCCCAGAGCCTTAGGCAGGTGGGGGTGGAGTTTGGGGGGGGGGCAGGTTCTGGGCACCACCAAATTTCTACAAACCTGCCACCCCTGGAAGAGGCAGAACAGGGGTGGAGTGGTGGTGCGGCCCAGTGCATGGGAGGGGCTTTACTGAGTGTATATATTTTATTAAAACCGCTTGGAGGAGGAGGTGGAGAAGAGATGGGGCAGGGGAGGGGCCTCATGGAAGAGGTGGAGTGGGGGTGGGGCCAGGGGCAGCGAGGGGGGGTGTCAGTGATGCGGCCCTCGGGCCAATGCACTAGTCCTCATGTGGCCCTCGTGGTCATTTGAGTTTGAGACCCCTGCCTTAGGGCATAGAATCATCATAGAACTGGAAGGGACCTCAAGAGGTCATCTAGTCCAGTTCCCTGCACTCAAGGCAGGACTAAGTATTATCTAGACCAGGGGTCGGCAACCTTTCAGAAGTGGTGTGCTGAGACTTCATTTATTCACTCTGATTTAAGGTTTCACGTGCCAGTAATACATTTTAACATTTTTAGAAGGTCTCTTTCTATAAGTCTATAATATATAACTAAACTATTGTTGTATGTAAAGTAAATAAGGTTTTTAAAATGTTTAAGAAGCTTCATTTAAAATTAAATTAAAATGCAGAGCCCCCCGGACCAGTGGCCAGGACCCGGGCAGTGTGAGTGCCACTGAAAATCAGCTTGCGTGCCGCCTTCGGCACACGTGCCATAGGTTGCCTACCCCTGATCTAGACTATCCCTGACAGGTGTTTGTCTTAAAAATCTTCAATGATGGAGATTCCACAACCTCCCTAGGCAATTTATGCCAGTGCTTAACCACTCTGATAGTTAGGACGTTTTTCCTAATGTCCAACCTAAACCGCCCTTGCTGCAATTTAAGCCCATTGCTTCTTGTCCTATCCTCAGAGGTTAAAAAGAACAATTTTTCTCCCTCCTCCTTGTAACAACCTTTTATGTACTTGAAAACTGTTATCATGTCCCCTCTCAGTCTTCTCTTCTCCAGACTAAACAAACCCAACTTCTTCAATCTTCCCTCATCCTCCTCACCTAATGGACTCTGCTCCTTGATGGAGTGAGGCTGGAAGGGAGAGGCTGCCTGTCCCTGGAGAACCAGTGGCCCTCACTGAGTTTGCCACCTGCTGGGAGATGCTTGCTCCTCACTGTCTCTGGACTGAGTCATATTCTCTCATTGAAAAGGGTGTTGGTGACTCAGTGCCTGTTGCGTTGTCTCCCCATACCATGTTGCCTCCCTGCCATGGCTGCCAGCATCCTGTGATCCACTTGGCACCTCACCTCTTCCACCTTTTCACTGTCTTTCTGCATCTTAGAGTCCTCTCTCGCTCAAGCCCCCCGCTTGCTCCCCATGTCACAGGAACTCCACCGAGGAAAGCAAAGTCTGTGTGTTATGCTGCCCGGTATCTGCTCCCGGCGCTATCTTCTGCCCCAAAGGCTCCAGCAGGAGCCAGGAGTGTGTCGGATTGGCCTGCTGGGTGTGCGTGATGCTCTGACACAGGCTGGGGCTGTGGGGCAGCACGTGCCTCTGGGGCTGCGTCCACTGGAATGAGAACGGGTCGGATGTGGGACAATTCCAGGAGCAGTAATCCTTGGTATTTGTTAGAGCCAAGGATCCCTGCTTACCTGGGTCAGCCTGAATGGAGCGCTCTGCTGTGTAGGACACCTGCTGCTCAGGGCGAGGGACCCACATGCAGACCCCATGTGCAGTGCTCCACAGTTAGCAGGCAGAAGCACTGCAGAGAGGTGGCTGGAGGAATTGTGGCATGGTTGTGGTGTGGGAGATGTGGGTTTTCAGAGGAGAATGGGGCATGTGCTGGGGGTGGGGCATATGCTAGGGGCTGATTAATGGAGCACAGTGAGATGCACCTTCAGCCAGACCAGCTGTACTGCCACCGCATGGGCTAGGGCAGTGGTTCTCAAACTTTTGTACAGGTGACCCCTTTCACATAGCAAGCCTCTGAGTGTGACCCCCACCTTATAAATTAAAAATACTTTTAAATATATTTAACACCATTATAAATGCTGGAGGCAAAGCGGGATTTGGGGTGGAGGCTGACAGCTTGTGACCCCCCATGTAGTAACCTTGCGACCCCCTGAGGGGTCCCAACCCCCAGTTTGAGAACCCCTGGGCTAGGGTGTCGCTGTGTGTGCAGGCAATGGTAGGGGAAGGAGAGCATTGGTTGGGAGTCAGGAAGGGCTGGCAGTGGGTGCTGGTCCCTTGGTTATAGCTGGGCTCTTCACTGGCTGATCTTTCACCCAACAAAGCAGTTTTCGGATTGGCATTCCCTGGCAGCTGATGCTAAGCTGCCTTCCTGCTCTCCCTGCAGGGTTTCTCCACTCCATGCGCCTATATATTCCAGCCGGACATGTTTGTGCTGAGACTTGTTGATGTCCCTGTCCTGCAGCCGGACATTCCCCTGCAGCAAACCATTGCCTCTCCTGCTAGGCCACTGCATGTCAAGTAAGTGAGCATGACAGCAGAGATTGCTTGGGGCTGCGGGTGGGGCTTTTCTCCCACAGGTGCTGGCCTAGTAGAGGCGCA